GTATACAACTGCTGGCGGCAGGCCCAGAACTGCCGTTCCGGCCCATACACTAACCCCAGATATCGCGCACTATCCTTAGCCGGTATGGCCTCTCCAGCCAGCCTGAGCTCATCACACGATGCTTGGACAGCACTTCTAATGTTGCTGTCACTCGCAAAAACGAGGCGTTCACATTTCGACACATTTGGGCGCATCCCAAAATCGTCACAGAACATGTCCACAATGTTGAGCAACTCCCCCATGCGTCCTGGTGTTGTTGCCAGAAGGCTAACGTCGTCGGCATAGAGAAGGATGGACACTCGCTCATTTCCAACCTCCGGTGCATCCTCTGGCCGTGCCCCGGTATTAATACCGTCGTGCATATCGATGACGTCCGCGAGGGTTTCAATGTAGAGCCCAAACAGCTCAGTTGATAGTGGGCAGCCTTGTTTCACACCCTGTTTTGACTCAAATTCACCTCCAGCTTTGCCATTCGTCTTGATGACCATCGTAACCTTATCATACGCCCGCATCAGCGACTGCAGCATGGACCCTTCAACCCCTCTCTCTTGCAAGCGAAGCCACATTATCTCCCGCGGCACCTTGTCAAACGCCTTCTCAAAGTCAATTTGCACGATGATTAACGGCCGCTGTCCCGGTTGGCTGTGCCTAGTAGTAAGGTACTGCTTGGCAAAGAGATGGTGTGTAGTACCGAAACCCCTTCTGAAACCCGCTTGGCCTCGATGCCTAAGTGAGAGCGTCTCCCCTGTGCGAACGAGCCTATCCAGGAGGACCAGTGCATAACATTTCGCCAAAGCGCCCCCTACTGCTATGCCCCGGTAGTTACTCGGCATGCTGGGGTCCCCCTTCTTGTAAATAGGGGTGAGGACGGTAGTTGTAAACTGCCGTGGGAAGTCCCCAGTCGCCCTGATATGCTCCAGAAGCACGTGCAGTACCGGAACAAGCTGATTCACTTCCCCCCGTCGCCTGCCCCCACCATTACCCGACGCGGAGCCTTCTTCCTCTCGGGGCAAACGTGCATAGCGGTAACATTCCGACGGCGCTACTTCCAAACCTGGTGCCTTACTGTTAGGCAGCCGGTCAACAGCACGTGCGACTTCCTCCCGCGGGAGGGGGGTCTAGGATTTCTGCTGCCTTCGCAGTCCTGCCCAAAACCGAGTGGGATGACCGCCATTCCTGCCCCTCTAGGAACTGCCCAAAGTTAATGAAGTTCAAAAGCCGGTTCGCACCATCAGGCCCTGTCTCCCCTACACCTGCGTTTAAGAGCCCAGCAAAGTGTTCCCTGAAGACCTCAATATCATCTATCGCACATCGCTCTCTCAACTTCCCTCCTAAAGCCCGCCACAAAGCTCGTTGGTCTTGCCGACATTTGGTCACAAACTCTCTCATCCTATCCTCCTCATATGCCGCCCTTGCGTGTCTTTTTGCCCGGTTATAATCCGTCCGCGCATGGCGGAAAGCCTCCCATTCCGGACCCGATTTATTACTCACCCGGCCTGGACCCAGATGTGCTCTACTCTCCAACATGCGTTGCCGTGTTTGTTGACATTCCCGGTTCCACCAAACCGTATTCCCACCTGCCGTCATGCCGGTAGGTCGGTGGGTATCGAAGGCCCTCACCAGGACTTTGTACAGGGCACCTCCAATGCGTTCGACAGCTTGTGTGGTGTTGCAAACTCCCCTTTGCAGGTCCTCGGCCACTTGGCTTAAGGCATTCATAGTAGGGGACCCCCCCTCAAAATATTCCGCATAATCCTGGTATCGTGCAATATCAAACTCCACCCGGGCTTTCCGGCCTTTACCGTCCCTACACCTGCTTTCGTCATCCACTGTAACATTAAGAACAAGCGTCAAAGGACGGTGGTCGGTGGGCCCCCATCCATCCAACTCGATCAGGTTCCCTACCCTCAGAAAGGTGGCGTACTGCTGAAGCACACGCGGAGTCGCTATGAATAAATCAATCATACTACCGCCTGCCTCCCCCTTAGGGAAAGTTAGGCGGCCTTCTGGGTCCCCTCTCATCCGGCCGTTCATCACGAGCAGTCCCTCGGATCTGCAGAGCGCCCCAAGCTGGGCACCAAAGAAATTGCAAACTTGGTCTTGGCACTTTCGATTTCCGAGTCCATCATAATTCTGGTGGTCCCTCAGTCCTTCAAAACCCATGACCTCGCATACGGCTTGTGACTGCTCTAAATCCGGGATGTCATTCACGTAAGCAGGTAAGTCCATCGGGGTAGCACGGTTCCGCTCATGCTGTGCTCCAGACAGACGTGCATTAAGATCCCCGGCAATCAGCACGTCCTCATCGCCGAGCCTGAGTTCCGTTAGTGACTGTTGGATCCTGGTAAAAACGGCTTCTGCTGCTGCAGTGCGCTGTGATACGGTGCCTCCACCATCCGGGTAGACCCTGGACGTCTCTGGTGCGAGGTAGCAGGCTCCCATCAGGAGGCTGCTACCTGTAGAAAGGCTAACGCGTGTCCAAATGACCTCGCACCCTGGCAGCTGGTTGTCCTTGCGCACTACCGTAATACCCCTCGTGAGTGACTCCCGTACATACAGCGCGACGCCCCCATAATCGGCCCTCAGGGCTTCCTTTGACCTCTCCACCCGGAAAATACGGAACCCTTCCAAAGCTATGTCTTTCTCCTCAGTGGTGTCCTTCAAATGCGCCTCAGCTATAAGGGGATCCTCAG